AGTCCACTGTCAGAGGCCATAAGAAGATCATTTGTAACCTTCACTAAAGCTGTTTCTGTGCTGTGATGAGCTCTGAAACCTGACTGAAACTCTTCAAAGAAGCCATTCCTCTGCAGATGATCTGTTATCTGTTTGACAACTACTCTTTCAAGGATTTTTGATATGAAAGGAAGGTTGGAGATTGACCTATAATTAGCTAAGACTGCTGGGTCTAGCTCATGGTCCTGAGTCTGACGACTCAGTGTTTTGTGTTTCCTTATAATATTCTATGTTCTTGTTTATTCTGATTATGTCTTTTGTTAAGGTTTGCCATTTGTTAGGTTTCTGTTCTGTGCCTGCCTGCTCCCACTTCTCTGTGTTCCCTCTGTCTGTCCATGGTGTCACAGTGTCTGCTCGTGAATCTGTCTGTTAAGTTCAGTGTCTTGTCCGGTTCTCTGTGTCTGTGAGTTTCCTGTTTTTTTCTGAAGGTCTGTGTCTCATGTGAGTGTTCTCAGCCTGACGTCTGTGTCTCGTCAGCTCTGATTTCTCCCAGGTGTGTTCCCCTCCTGTGTCCCATCCCATGATTACTCCTGTGAGTATTTAAGCCCTGTGTGTTCTCCTGCCTGTTGCTGGTTTGTCTATATGGTTTCCTGGCATCTGTCTACGTCTCCCTGCGGTTCCGTTTGTGTCTGTAGGTTTCATGTTTGTGTTATTCTCAGTTTTCCCAGTTTAGGATTTCATAGTAGGTTTCAGGTTTTTTGTTTAGTTTTCCCAGTTTAGGCTTTGTCAGTTCTGTTCTCGCCACCCTCGCCTTTTGTTGTATGTCATCCTCCTCAATAAAAGCCCACTCACATCAGTAGTGCCTGCATCTTGGGTCCTTTAATAATTCCCACACGGTTTGCCCTGCTAACTGTGACAGTATGTTTACTGTTGCTTTACTGATGGTTCCTAGGATATTTAAAAGCAAGGGAGGGTGAGCCTTCATCTCCAAGACTCCTCTTCTATGAACCAGCTTCCAGTTTGTGGAGACAGACACTGTCTCTACTTTGAAGATTAGAGTAAGCGCTTTCCTTTTTGATAAAGCTTATAGTTATGGCTGGATCAGGTCACCCTAAATCCTCACTTAGTTATGCTACAAAAGGTCTAGACTGCTGGAGGTTCCCATGATGCACTATGTGCTTCTTCTTGATTCACCTTGTTTCACTCACTATGTGTTTGGCTGGCTTACACCAGTCTGCATTTAATGATTTGTTATTATTAATCTCTGGCTCTTATCCACAGTGGGTCATTTGCCCTGTCTCCATCCCTTCACCCTCAGCCAGTCACTGCAGATGACCACTGTGCCATCCGCTACAAATAATTTCTCATGCTGTAATTCATACATAAGTGTCCTCTTTCAACAGTTTTCTTAATATCGGGTCCTTTACACACCTGATTTATAATTATGTGGCACAAAAAACGGTGAAAATCATGTGACTCAATCCAAGTCTTATAAGACAAAAAGCAGTTGTAAAAAAAAACTAACGCAGGTTCATAAACTTTCCACAATTGCCAGAGCAAAGCTGTTGAACTGTCCACCCTTTTCTCCAGCCTCTTACCTCACCCGAAAAACCCCCCAGTTTTATAAGTCCATAAAAACCACACATTTTTTCCAGTTCATTTAAACCAAGTAGAAATAAGACTTCTGAGCCCTCGTTACGCTACATCAACAACGTGGTATTCCTGACGGGTAGCTCCAAAAAATAATGTCCACTTCTTCCACTGAACCGCTCTTTTTGTGGTCGTCTAATTAATCTAGAAAAATTTCAAAAGAGACGATGAAAGCAGGACTTAAACTTCAAGTTGACATCTGGGATAAGCTCAACACAGGAATTTATTATGAATGAATCAAAACTTTTGTGTTAATGAACGTAAATGTGACACATGCAAGTCATTTGGTTCTCCGTTTCTTTTTCATCTGGTTTGAAACTCCACGAACACAAACGTATTTAATCAGCTGATAAATTTCATCTGAGTTTCCTGATCTTTCTCTCATCATCCTCTTACACAGACACTTCCTCCTCTGCCTTTCTTGTTGCCATCAATTGTTGGTGTCAGTCTCTATCTCACCCGTGAGCTAACTTTCATGTTAAAACACAGTCTCAAGAGCTAAAACAGCTAAAAGTTAAAGAGCTCCTTCCTTGTTAGGCTGATGTGAAAACACCGATCTGAGCACATTTCAAACTTTGCATAGATAATTGTTCGGTTTAACTGGAGGTTTTCTGCATGGAGTTTTTAACAGATAGCTTGAAGATTGATTTGTTTGTATTGTTTTAACAAAATGGTTTCAAGAAATATGTCTTAGCAATATAAAAAACTATAACAAGTGAGTTCACGACACTGAGAATTTAGCTCAGAGGGCAGGATTAAGGTCACACTGAATTTCTATCATCACTGTTAAATTATTGTGATGTGCTACGTTTTCATTGATGGCAAATTTGATCCTTGTGGAAAACTGGGTTGTGTTGCTGTCACCACATTTTGCTGTGTGTCACATTTGTTCACTGTTGTCTGGCGTTTTCCTGCCAATGGAAAGCAAGCAGGAAATGTTCAAATCCAATAAACAGGATTATAAATTCACCTAACAATAAAAAAATTGCCTAACAAACTGAAAAAGGCATTTTCAGGAACATCTTTACAAAGACTAAGGGCATGTCACTGAAACATGTCAGCAACTACCTCTGAATACTTTTAAAAGGAGCAATTTTACACAGCGTTACTACTAAATCGGTGAGTTTATGACAAATAGAGTCGACAGTAAAAACTTACGGGAGCGACACTTTGGCGTGGTGGAGAAATCTTTTGCCTTGCAAACAGCCGTCTATTCTTCGCTTGGCTCCAAACTGGGAATGGAAATAAAAGCAGAGTCAAAAGATCAATTCAGTGTTTCAACAATGCAGCCCCTTGTGCACAATACATGATTAAAAATTGTAAATATGTACAGTAGTAAATGTTTTAAGACTCTATAAATTAGAGATTATAAAATAAGGAAACCAGGATCTCCTCTTGGAGTGAGTGTCTGGGCACCAGCCATGATTAACCAACAGCGAGAGCAGAGTTGAAGCCACACAGTACGGGGAGGGGTTAAAGCTGACAGCTGGCAAAGTCAGAGAACTTGGAGCAAGGGGTTGTTTTACAGTAATTGGGGTCCAGAGCAGGAAATTTATGCGATATGCATATTTTTCCTCAAATCAAGCCAAAGCAAACCCAGCTTTACTGACTAGAAAATGTGGGCATCGTTATTTGTGGGGGGCTTTAAAAACAATAATACGTTTTATTCAATTGTATTATAGTCTGTGCTCGCATGGATGCAAGAAAAGAAAGGTTATTTTTGCTAATGTTTTTTTATATGCATCATTAAGTAAATACTAAAAAGGTTTTCTCAAAGTCTGCTCATTTGTTGTCTTTGAGATCTCCATCATCTTTTCTTTCTGGATCATCCTATAGTGTAGTAGGAGGAAAGATTTATGACTGATCCGCTGAACATCTACAACTCCTTTTTCTCAGCAGGGGAGTTTCTGTCAATCGTGACTGATTTTTTCTTCTTGGCCGTGAAGCAAAAGAACATTTTTACACATTTAGAGCTAAATCATTTATTTTGCTTTATACTTGTAAGAATTCCAGTCAAAACAGCACAGCAGGTTTCTTTTCTTCCCCCAAATTATTTTGCCATGCCAAGCCTACAAATGGACATAAAGAGATGTTTGCTTCAAAGCGTGTTGATATGTGATACGCATCCAAGACTCCAAGACACTGAGGTGTTTTGTTTTGGGGTTGTTTTTCACAGACAGAAATGGCAGAGAAGGTAGCCAACGTTCCACTGGAAATCAGAATTATTTGACTCTACATCTCCTCTCCGCCAGCCTGGACATTCTTTTGATCATAATCGAAACAACGTTTTCAAACCACTCACCTCACATACTGGCACCAGCAACACACTCACCCTCCCATACTGGATGCTGCACAAGTTCAACAAATCAAAAAGCTTCTCTTTTGGCTATGACTTCTTTCCTTCTGCCCCGTGACTGATAGCTGCGGCACCTTTTCTTACCATCCAGCACAACACAGATATAGTCTAAACATCTGGTCAAACAAAAAAAAAAATGCCCCAACGTGTTGTGCTGGATGGTAAGAAAAGGTGCAGTGCAACACCTTTGTGCGATTTCCTTTTTTTGACCAGATGTTTAGACTATATCGGCCACATTTGTGGAAAACGCCCTTTCTTGTGTCTCCTGCTGTTCCCGAGGTTCTTGTGAGCACCCTGATCTTATCTTTATTTTACTATGCTATCTGAAATTGTCTTGTCCCCCATCAATCTTCTGCAGGAAAATATGATGAACTCTCATCTCCCATGTCCTCTCTGTGCTCACATTTGAAATGTTTCCCTCACTCCTGCTTTCTCATGAAAATCAGATGGTTGGTTTTCCGTGTAGCTCAATCATATTTAGCTCACTTTTCCAGCCTCTTTTAAATGTTAATAGAGCAATTGGCTGCTAAAGCCAAGTGTTTCCCCCCACTTGATTATAAGATATCCACACACTGAGTGATCACATTTGTAACTGTGGATTAGACTGTATGTCAAAAGGTGATGCTGTGTTGGTGTAGCATCTGTCATATTGCTGTTTAAAAGCAAGAATTCTAAATCCAGCTGTAAAAACTTTCAACTGTACCACAATCATTTTGAGGTTAAGGGCCCTAAATATGCATTTTTCTATTAACAGTACATGCAAACAGGAAACTTTCAGCTGCTCCAAATGGAAATACAAATTTTTCACTTCACACCAGACCTTCCTCACATAGTCATTCATCTGGGCTTGAGACCAACACAGGGAGTACACAAGCTGAAAAGGCTGCATATGCATTTTAACTTATGCATGTTAACGCATTTCCCTATTTTGATTCTGCAGAATCAAAATAGGGAAATGCGTTAACCCCTAGACTATGAGACCACAATGCATAATGCACACAAACACTGTGGTTGAACTCGTTACATGCTACCAGCATACACAGCCACTCCAGAGCTGTTTCTCAAGGAAAAGGGTTAGCGTTAAACCATCTACTGTTGCAAATGATTATTGGAACCATTAATCATCATTTTTATATGTGTAAATATTCAGCCCATTTTCCAGTGTTCCAGCTGCAAACTCTTATCATGCTGGAACATCAGAGGGAAGAAATACTGTCTTTAAAAAGAAATAAATAGCTATGATGTATGATATGTGTCTCTGGTGTTTTGTATCTGGTTTTCCCCTGAAAATCATCAGAATTGTTTTGTTCTAAGAAAAAATGTGAAGGGTGTTCTACTCCTTTCACATCACCAGAGCAAACTGGCTCTTAAAGGCATTGTACACTGTAAAAAAAAAAAAAATCCTAATATAAAAGTATTTTACTGTGTATTTTACAGTTTTGTACTGTCCTTCTAGAATATCATTAAATTTACACCAATAGACTGTGATTTCACATTTCAAATGTAAATTAACGTAAAATCACTGTAATGTAATAAAA